CTGGGAGAAGGACTTGAGAGGGACTGGCTGGACCCTAAAAATTTTAAGATGGCTATGGAAATGGCCTAGAATGGAGATTACACATGAATCACCCTCCAGGGGTGGAGGGTGATGGTAATGGCAGGTATTTGGTCCACTCCGGCCACACCACTCAATACCAGCTCTAAGTTACAAGCTATTTTCAGTTCAGGAAGGACCTGCCACCTGCTTGCCATCATTTTTTTAAGGGATGACAGACTAGATTTACTTGCCCATTAAAGAATTTATCCATATTGGAAAACGGCCATGTCAAAACTGACACAACTGACCTATTCAATTCTTTGCATATTAGGTGTGTTATATTTTTCTAAAACTAGATTTGCTTTGACCTGTAGCTCAAGACATCAGAGAACCTCCGGCCAGAGAGGCCATACTCCCTAGAGTCACCCTCCCCTTACCTCAATCAGCAAGATGCATTTAGCTCTGGCTTTCATGGGAAGGAACTCAGCATACAGCGTCACCCTGGGAAAGCAAAAGGACAGGAAGGGGGTTAATTAAAGTTCAAGGCTGGGTGGGAAAATTGCTACAGTTTCCTAATTCCTAGGCCAGCATTCCTCTGATGGTGGCCAGTAAACCACTTAGGTCGAAAACTCCTGTGATTACAAGCGTGAGCCACTGCTCTGGGCCTTATTTCTATGGCTTTTGATATATCCTACCAAACTGGTTCCCCCAAAAGTTGTTGCAATTTAAATTCCTCCCAAACCTACATCAGCAAACTCCATAAGGAATTTCATTAACTAAGCTCTGAGAATGGAGACCAAGATTGCAATGGTTGCTAAAATGGCAGTGATTACCATGGAGGACTTCCTTGAAATTGTATACTGTTTTCCAAGTGGCGTGCTGATATTATCAATAATAATGCTAAAACAAGAAGGATGTTTACCTTTACCCCATCAAATCAAAGCCAAACCACTAGTCATACAAAAAGCGCCCTAAGATAGTCTAAGGGCAAAGCTATTCCTGTCTTTGGATGTCAAGGATTTGTTTTTATGATGAACCTGTATTCCATTTCATGAAGTCTTTTTTTTTTAATTACAGAGTATTACATGAATGCATTCTCATTGTAAACCAATTTGCCCATATGTGAGTATACAGAGCATATGGCAATCTGCCTTCTTCCCTACTTGCATCCCTTAACCCAAAGCCATGACTACCAGCAGTTTGCTCTGCAACCTTCCAGGCCCTTCTCTATGGAAACCAATAAATGAATTTAAGCAACATGCTATTTCTTTCCTTTCCTTTCTTCTGTCCTCCCTCTTGCTCTTTCTTCTTTCCTTTCCTTTCCCTCCTTCTTCCCTTCCTTCCTTTCTCCTTCCTCCTTCCTTCCCACCCTCCCTTCTTCCTTCTTTCTTTGTCTCAACACACACAGCACCATGTCAGTGTTCCATCCATACAAATGTCCCCATTTTTACCACTTCC